GAGAACCATGCGTGGTGGTGGTGAAGAACCACGCATGGTGGTGGTGGAGAAGAACCATGTGTGGTGGTGGTGCAGAACCACCAGGCCCCACTGCCTGGAGCAGGAGCACGCTTGGGGGGGTCAGGATTCCACCCCCACTTGGGAATGTTTGTGGGATGGAGGTGCCGTGGGGACCCGATGGGACCAGGCTGGTGCCAGTGGCTTTTGGGGACAGGCGGATGGAGCAGAGCCACGGGCAGGTCCATGGCGGCGACCGGGATTTACCTTGTAGCACCTGTGCAGCAGCATCCGCGCGGAGGAGAGGACGTTCACGGTGTAGAGGTAGAAGGTGCGGGATGGCGCGTGGTCAGGGGTCTTGGGAATCTCCTACGGGTGGGCGAGAGAAGGGGGAGGACTTCACCGTGCCGCACGTCCCCCGTGGTGACTTCACGGGGCTGGGGGCTTTGCCGCTGTCCCACGCAGGGCGCAGCATCCCTCACTGCCGGGCGTTCCGTGAGGAGCAGGAGAGCGGCGTTTGCTCTGGTTTGGGGAAACCTTTGCGACCTCAGAGGCTCCTACATCCGTCGCAGCCCCCAGCCCCTGCTCGTTGGCCCCCCTCGCGTGACCGGTGAGAGGGGGACGCGCTCACCTGCAGGGACACGAAGTTCTCTGAGAGCATTTTGTAGAGCATGTCCTTGGCTTCCTTGGCCGGGATCATGGCAAAGTCCTCCACTTGCTTCTGCTCCAGATGCTTCTTCCGCAGGAGCAAGCGGAAAATCCTGGCACAGCGGGAACCGAACCTGAGTGGGAGGGGAACAGAAATCAGCGGGCGGAAGCCCGGAAGGGTCAGGGGGGGCTTCAAATCATGGCTGTACCTCTCCTCCACGATGGACTCCAGGGTTGCCGTGGCCAGGGACGCCAGGGCCTTGTGCAGATCTGTAGGGGGTCAAGGTCAAGGGATGACACCAGCAGGCGGGAGTCGCGTTAGGAAGCGCCGGGTCGGGTGGCTTTGCGCACAAAGGATACTGACGGTGTACATGCCCCCGCCGCTGTCCCCTGATTTACCCACAAACTCGAGCTACCAGGAAAGGGGGGGGAAAAAAAAATTAAAAATTCAGCACATCCCGAGGTAATAAAAATCCGGAAAATCTCGACCGTCAAAAGCAATATGAGGAATTCCGCAACAAAGAGCCGTGTGCGATCCTAACAGCCCGAGAACGTCGCCCGTGGGCTTTCAAGGCTTTGAATTTCAGTAAAAACCTGGGTTTCCCTCAGCCCGAGCGCGGCCGAAGGGAGGCAGCGAGCGGGGGCGCGGGGAGCTCAGTGAGGAGCCGCCGTCGAGCGGCGTTTAGCGTCGATGATCTCGCGGGG